TGCTTCCATTTGTCTTGGTATTAACGATTCGTAATGGCATGACGAATACAGACACGCTGAGACCATTATACTCAGCGCCTATTGCAGCAACCGTAAGTAAACTAACAGATGAGGGGAAATGTTTAGCGCATCAGGATGCACCTTTTCCACTATCGCTATTTCTTCAGGTCATCTTTCAATGGTGGTCTCCCTTCTGCTCGTAATCTGGATAGCAGATGGGAGCATATTCATTAGCTTCGCTCTTTCTAGTCTGAATCCAATGCCAGTGGTCTCCGTAGAAGAAAGTCGTAGTTTTCGAAGTCTCGTATCCGCCTTCAGACCGCTTTTTTCTATCTGAAAACGTTATTTTAAAATTACGCGCAAGTCTGTTTGAGGGAGTGGCGAAAATGTTGATGAGATCAACGGAAACTGTGCAATCACTGTCTTTATGAGTGCCTATAAGTAGGTGCCAGCGTAAAAGACACTGCTGGTAGGGAAAATGAGAAGTTAAATGAAAACCGCCAATAGGGAATAACAGTTTTACTTGTGATAATATCAGGACGAAGCGATTCGTGGTGCATATTCAAGGGTGAGGTACAAAATTTAGGATAAGCATGATTTCAGCTTCTACAGGAGTTTATTGGTGATAAACCGCATGTACTCACCCATTCATCCGGTACTTGTTTGGGAAAGTTGACCTAGATGGTTGCGATTACTACCTTTGGCGGCTGGTCCGACGGCACACTCACTCAGTGAGAGGAAGATTAGATGTGACTCTCATTTTAGTCTTCTGATGGTGTATGAGAGTGGGGTTCTCGTGGAACTGTTGGCTTTGAACCCTTATTACTGTCTCATTGGGTACTCTACTCGTTGGATAATCTTGTAGACCGGTATTGGAGCTTTCCGTTTCCCACGATAGTCAAATGTGGGTACAGTGAGTCGTTGAGACCTTGTGTGCTTGCTTTTTCTACTGTTCCAAAAACTTACCTCGTCGTTCCTCTGTGTACCTTCCCGAGGGTGTCTAGGCCTCTCTGCGCCACGTGGGGTGCTAAAGTGTTGAATAAGCCTAAGTTCACTCGAGTATATCGTGAAAAGTAATGGGGAATAATTCGGGGGCAAAGGCGTTTAAGTGCCTTCTTGGGAGGTGTATGACAACGTTTGCCTCGGATATAAGAGGAAGAAGTTTGGCACTGCGGTAGAGTGTGGTCCTAATTACGCCGGCTTATTAGATACATGACAAAGTGGAACAGAACCACCGACCGGGTTACGTTTCGGGTATAGCTAATTGTCCGTGGTCATATCACCATGGTGATTGTTGTGGAACGATTTAGCCTCCCAGTTTCACGTCGTTTACCGGACGATCAGATGCTTGTCCGTCAGGTAGCGGGGTATACTGGATGACTGTGTGCTTGAGGCTGTCATGTGAAGATTCGGTATCTGGTTGCACAACGTGCTGGTGCGCTCGATCTTCAATATCACCTGATAGAAGACCCCTGAGAAGACTAAATTCTGCATTCTCTGAGGTGACCTTGTTTGCAGCGAAGTAGTTCAACATAAACATTTGACGTTGATGGTATGGGTGCAAAAGACTAATAGTTTTTGACCGCTCACGTTTAGTTCCTAAGGGTTCTCCCGTGTTGCTTAGTTTGCTCCTGCACTGAAGTAAGAAAATCTCATGTGTTTTACTGCTTTCAGCCCTTGCAAGGTGGATGTTTTTGTGGGTTAGCAGTTTCGATTCGTGGAGTGACTAGAGAGCTACGGATTGTTGGGTCGATCAGGAGTCTGTCGTGACTCCTGTCTGCGTAGGTGCCGGAATGGAGATGACAAGAGAGTGGGAAAAGCTGTATGGGAGCTGTCTCGAAGGTAAAAGTAGGCGGTCTAGGTCTGGTTGCTAAAGAAGAATCAGTAGACAATGTAGGTGTGCCAGAAAGAGAGATTGTGGGTGGTGAGCGGAAAAAAAGTAGTGGCAGGATGGTGGGGTCAGCGATTCTCGTGGTAGGGTATTGCGTGAAACATATACTTTTGAGGGAAAAAAGTTAAACCTGACTCTGGTATTGGCTATTTGGTGTACTGTCCCGAAGGGTTTCCGCACGATGAATGATGTGTTGCAGGCAAGGCTAGTTTGTTCGAGTAATTTGCTTGATGGATGATCTTGTGGGCGATAGCTAAGTCGCCCTTCAATTTTCAGTAGCCCAAAGTGAAGAGGTTTAGGTGTTTCAGCGTCTCAGGTTGTGCCTTCCTCCTTGGTCTCACAACTGATTTGTCACAGATCTTCGTGTTTTTCGAGGAAATCGGAGTCTTCCTTGCGTGTCACGGGTGCCACTGTATTGAAGACCTCTAGCCGCAGCCGTGCGTAGGATTCTGGAGCCATGAAAAACAGTTCGGGGTTGAGGGCACCGAGCTGTCTATGCAGAAAGTGCAAAGTAGAGTTCACTCTGGCTGACATGTCTTTGTAGTTGGAGCTGGTGCTCAGGGTGTCTGAAAAGCCGAGCTCCAAATCTGTTTCTGTGGATACTTTGCTGACACCATGGCTGCTCAACTTGTATTGGAGCTCGGTTGTTCTTCTTTCATAGGTACTGGCGAGTATTACTTTGCAATTTTTGAGGTTGGAGCTCAAGTCGTTCTCTGGCGGCCAGGTCACAAGTAGCTGCGGGTTATTTTGGGGTGCTGTATAATAGAGTTCTCCGTTCACTGTTCTTCAAATTTTAATGTCCCCGGCAAAGAGGAAGACGGATGGGGACATTTTGTGTTTCGGGTTGTTGGCAAACAGGAGAGACAGAAGTGGTCTCATGTAGTTGGTCTCCACGTCCACTATATCCTGCTTACCTTGGTGCGGAACCGCCAGCCTTCTGCACATGCTCTGAACCAAGATGGTAGGAGTTCGCTCATACAGATCGACACGATTTTGTGAATCAGGTCTGCCGCGGAAAACTGTCGAACGCTTTTATCTAGGTCGAAAAAGTATTACGCATCGATTTCCCCTTGTCTCAACCATGACGAGTCCAGTACGCATGGCACGATGTCTTCATGAGGCAACCTCTCATGGCCCCATAGCCAAGCCTTACTGCAGCAAGGGAAGGTGTTGGATATCTCTGGTTGCGCAGTCTCCCTAGTAATCCTGGTGAAATTTATTGCCAAATCATCTCCGAGATCCAGTGGTGGTGTGATGCATATGTCCTCAATGAGAAGATCGTTGTTCGTCAGATTACGGTTCATGTACGATGCGTTCCCACCAGGCCTCCAAAGCGTGGTGCCACCCGCTTTCTCAAACCAACAGCTCCAATTGCGTTCTTCATCTTCTGATCAAACGCACGACGTGCCACCCTTGCTACAGGAAGAATATGGACAGAAATCTCTGGTAATTATTGCGGAGTCATAATCTTCAGAGGAAGTCTCCAGAATTGCCCCGGCGACTATTTCGTCGTGGATGGGGGGGCTAGAGGGGATAGACGTTCGACTCCGAGCAGATATTTGATACGATAAAGAGTGAGGAAGTATCATAAAGATTCCGGGAGCGGGATTTGAGCCGTGTCGCTAACCACTCGCTTTTAAACGGGAGCTTACGTAGAGAGCCACTGCTTTCCAGCTCTAAGTTCTCTGCCTCTGCGGAAGAGTTCTATGCCAGTGGGATGGATTCTTCTGTCAGAACCGCCCGGTGAGAGCAAGGATTGTGTAGCGAATATGGTGTCAGAGTCCAGATGTTTGTGCGGCGTTCTCACATCCGCTTTCCCTTTTAGTCCTCTAAGTTGCCGTATATGGTTGTTAGGGCGCGCCTGTTGATAGAAAAGGTCTGGCAGCATAATTCTATGAGGAAGGCAGTTATGTGGTTGGTTTTAGGTGCACCAATCATCACAGGACCAATGTCGCTCGGTTCTTTGGCGCTTCGCCTCCAGCTTGCTTGGGGACCGCGTTGGGAGTGGCCTCAGTATTTAATGTATCTGGCCCACTGGCATGGGACTGTAACAACGGCCGACTCCGGAGGTCTTGGCGGGTGCTGTCTCTCTTCTTGCTCTATGGGTTTTGGCCTGCACCCGCAATGCAGGCCGAGCCACCCATGAGGCCTTTCACGTCATGCCGCGTATATAGAAGGTCTGTAGGAGCATGTGAGCCTGCTTACGCTGTTAGTCGGCATGCTGACAAGACCAACTTTATTTGAAAGCCGTTGCAATCTCTGGACGCCACAGAGGCGCTAATTTTTAGCAGAACGGTTAGCTGACATTCCTGCGATTCCGTACGCAGACATAAAGCTGTTTCTCCTTGGTAACATAACTGCAGGTTTTCTCCCTCCTCTCTCCGTGAGGATGGTTTGTCAGTCTCGGCCTAGAGTTTGCAGGTAATGACGACTTCCAGTCGGAGCGGGGAGAAAAACAGTACCTCCGGCTTCTTCAGGGGTGCTTGAAGATACTCTTAAAGGTGGTGGAATGCTTCTGGCATCTGACAGCAATCGGCCCATGTTTGGCTACCAAACTGGTTTCTCTTGACCAGCAGTGGGCCTGCTGATACGTCAGTGTTGGACAAGATGATCGAGTTGGTTATCCTGTCGCTTACGTTCACCAGGGGTGACACACCCGATTTCCTGGTGGGGTTGTCATGCGCTTTTTCCGGTTGTTACCATGTTGCGATGTCTAGAATGTTCATACCGGGTTACGTCAAGCACCTAGCAGGCGCTGTCTTTTCCATATCACAGTTTCAGTGTAAATGCCTCGACGACCAAGGAAACGAATCTAGTCCGGGCACTGCATTCGTGTGGTAAGATACTTATACGGAAATCCCCCCTCAAAACGCGGCTACAATTTGGGCGATAAGAAAAGCACGTTACTAAGATGAAAAGCGTTGCCAGGAATATAAACATGTACCAAAATTTGCTGCGCAGTTAGGTAACCACCAGTGTATGTGGCTGAAATTTTTCGTGCGAGAAGCTTGCTTGACCATGACGAAGGCTTTAAGTCGGGGGTTAAAGTGGAGAGAACAGTTGACTGCGAGAAGCAACAATAAAAGGGCTTCTGTTCTTTTTTCCAGCCATGAGGTATTCGTGATAACACTTCATATAGTTATCATTATAAACTTTTGGGTTACTTACGAATTGCAAGAAGTATGCTGTCTTGGGTGGGAGGATTGTTAGGTCAGGATACTGTCTCCCGATTCAACACTTGGCTTTACATGCCGGAAAATTCGCCCCCACTAGGAAATCGGTCTCACATTTTATCTACCCGTTATCATCGGTTTTCTTTATGACGTACGGTGAGTTGCAACTTGGTTGCTTAGCCTGGTAGCTCTAGGACTTGAGCCTTTCGTTGCGAACACTTACGTTAAATGGGTTGCACGGTATGATGCAGTTGGGAAATCCGACTCCTCGCTTGGTTTGCGCCACACGTGGCAAGCCCCCTGCTCCCTGCGTTTATTTTCGCATCGTGCAAATCACCCAAGAACACTTTAAGGGTGGTCGTTTGTTTGGTTCAGTTCAACTCCTTTCGACGGCACTTCAGACATCTTTCATACGTAACAATTGTTCGTCGACCGAAAGACAGCCCTATCCTTACTTCCACACTGCATCTGGAAATTGATTCTCCATGTCCTGGTCGTTTGTCTTCCCATAACACCTGAATGCCTAAGGTTTTGGTAGTGACAGTTTCTTGCGTCTAATACTGACAGCCGAGGTATAAGCATTTTAAAAACTGAGTAGGTAGTCATTTCGGACAAAATGAAGCGGGGCGGTTTTAGGGAAATTCGCTCTTCCGGTGGTTTTGTGACAGATTTAACGGATGTTACCCTTCATCGGTGTCTTTATTAGGATGTCCCTCAAATGAAAAATATACGGAAATGCCGAGTGCATGGGTTCGGAAACTTTGACATTGCGTACTATCCCACAGCAGTACCACTATCACCGTAGATACCCCCCACCAACATTTGGCAAAACACAGCTGATGACTCAGCGTCGTGTCTCACAAAGTAACAAAGTTAATGATAAAGTTGAAGCACTATGAAAAACCCGAAATCAAAAATATTTGTATCGAAATAGAACACTCATTCATGTTCACTGTACGAACCAGTCAAAACAGGAAAATAAGAGAATGTAAGAGAAATGGAAGCAAGTGTTCCTACAGGATTGCATAGTGAAACGGAAACAAAGTGGGATTTTAAGCACTAGTGTCTGGTACAGAAGCTTCACGTCACATGGCGAGCCGGTGGTGACGAAAATACGAAAACTAAAGTAGAAGACGGCGATACCTTTACCACTTTAGGTTTCTCGTAACCACATCAGGAGCTGTTATGAGAAAACACAGAAGTCGGAACCAAAGAGCAATCGTTTGCCGCTTCTACGAAGTTAAACCTGGCGTTTAGTACAATAAAGCCAATATCTTCTTGTGTGCCAATTCACGGAAAGGTCATATTTGTGTGGATGCATTTTGTCACTGCCATAACCTGTGGTCAGGTTTTGTTTCATTTCTCTTTGGGCTTGCACAGTGTTTACATTTGTCCTATACGACGAAGTACAAGTGACATAGTATTTTAGGATTTGTCATGGTGCGAACTTGACAGACGCAAAGACCAATCACTAATTATTCGGACTTTTTATATACCCACGAGTACGAGACCAAGGAAGAACACGATAGCGTAGTCAGATGGAATAGTATATTTGGATGGTTGTGCCAAAATACCGATGCGTTCCAACTAACTAGCTAGAGAGTCGAATACGAACAGTGCAACGTAACACGACAGCGTGCCGAATGGCGAGGATGTTTGACCAGGTGCCTTCAGCTTAGCGAGCCCAGTTAAACTATCAAGGTCAGCATCAATGTCGAAAGTCGTCAAACCCTCGGCAATTTATTTTGGGCAAGTGTGTGACGCTACAGTATGTAGTAAATGATTATATGATGTGAGGACGGTACATCTCACTCACTGCTGCTATTTGTTAACTTGGTAACTGATTGTGCGCGATATCGCAGTATTACATTTTATTGTGCATCGCTTTTCCTTTTAAGCGTCATTTCAAGTTTCGCCGTTACTGCAGTACCTTGCGTAAGTTGTATGCACGCTATCCATTGCCTTGCAAGTGTAACTTATCTCATGGATTTATAGGAAAATACACTGCTTTTTCTTTTCGATTTGTAAGATCTGCCAGTGTTAATATGACTTTTATGTCATCATTCTAAAAATTTGTTTAGGTTAAGTTGGCTGACAGCACCAAATAGAGATTTCTTAGTGTTACAATAATACTGAGCCATATACAACTGCGAGTTCACATTCTGTAATTTTACCGGCTTGGCCTTTATGCGTATTCAATGTTTTCTGGGCATAAAAAATTTGGAGTTATGATCTCAAACATGGTTTGATCTAGTCTGGATTTAGTCTTTTTAAGAATTACGTGAAATTTCGATTCCACTTATTGTCCTGGTATGGTTTTATGGTTCTGACCCATTTACTGACTTGTTTAGTCATGAAACTATCAGATGGTGGTGTTATAACAAATGGATTATAATAACAAACTGGGCAAATCCTTTGTGGAGTACTTTGGGTATTTAGGATTAAGTTAAGTCACACTCAGTGACTTTCTCTTATTCTACTGAAAAACTAGAAAAGGCTTTCCCACGGTATTCGGAATTCACTCGAAATTCCGAAATGAACAAGATGCACACAAGCCTTTTATTCACAGAGTCCAAATTTTCTGAATTACACCTACGCCGCATGAAGTTGTTTTGCTAGACGTTTTTGTACCATTACTGCTATTTACCATCAGAGATGTATGCTTGGAGGATAATACTGTTTCTGGGCTTTATATTTGGATGGTAATCACGTCTGTTCGAGCACGTTGGTCCGTTGTCGAGTGGATGTTGAAGAGCGTCAGTCTAAAAACTTTTCAAACTCGGTTTTATGCTGAGGATGCTAAGGCTGCTTTTTAGGAGGAACTAATTTGGAATACGAAAACGTTTCTCATTTTGAAAAAAGCTTGTACTATATCCAGTTTACTGTAAAAGCAGTGATCAAGACCCCAACTTATCCGTAGAAGATCAGAATAAGCCAGTGAACCGTAGTCGCTTCTTAACAAATGGAGGCAAGCGAATAAATTCATGCATGCTGTTAGCACAGCGAGAAGCATAAGCAGCTGAGATGTTGACTTATCATCACTCTAAGTCAAAACGGTAGTAGGCAGTTTTCAAAAAGGAGAAATTCTCATGTGATAACCCCAGGGGACTAAGTCTAACGAACATAAAAATTTGTTTCGAACAATCATTAGATGGCTTGCTAACACCCCACTCTACAGAACCAGATAGGTTCCAGGGCACGCTATCAATGTATTGACCAGATGTTGGACCGGATGCCTGAGTTTATCTTCTCTTGACATTAGCCGTATTTTTAGACCTGCAAACGGAATTTGGCCCCATTGATGAAGGGGTCTTACAGTAGCTTTTGTCACTGATAAATGTACCGGGTAATTCTATGACTCCTTTGAAGACTGTGCATTCTAACACATGAGAGTATTAGAACCAGTGGTGAAGTATAAGGAGAAGTTCATACGTTGAATGGTGTACACCAGCGATATCCACTCCTTTTTGACTTAGGTTTTTCATGCAGGTGCTTATAGAGGTATTCCTCTCTTCCTTTGACCTTATTAGGGATTAACTTCGTCACAGAAGACTGCATAATAGACCTGTAATGTGTTTGACGTAGTGGATTTTAATGAGAACACTGATCAAATGTTCTCTTCAAAACACAATGAGTGAAAATGTGAGAATGTAGGCGAGGTTACCCTTCACGCAAATGCGTAATGTTACTACAAGACTGGTCTATAGAAGGGCCTTATCTGATAGCATGGAGTAAGTTAGTTGAGTGCGTTGGTCACTTCACATACTTTGGGATGTTGGATCAGCGACTGACAAGACCTTTGCACAGATGCAAAAGGCTCGGTCGGTTTATGCAAATTTATATCCTTTAAAGTGTATGTGTGGTATCTTATTACCTGTCAATAGAGTTCACTCTGTTCTACTATATGACTGTGAAACAGTCATCAATGATGGAAGACATCAGGAGATTTCAGGTGTTTGACTAGCGTCTCCTTCTCAGCACTAATTGTATGTTTTGAAACCACTATGTGAGCAATACTGAGATGTAGAATCTTAAGGAGAGGATTTAGGTCATTTGCAGACCTTCATTGATGTAGGTGGCTGGAACATATGTTTTACTTTCCTGGTCGCCATCTATTCTGATGCTAAGTGTTAGTCGACATAAAGATAGACTAGAAAAAGGTTAAAAGTCGTCAAACTGAAACTGTGCATCTGTTCATGAAGTATCTAATATTGGTCTGATCGGTGCACTCGAATGTAAACTTCCTGGTTCTCGAGTATTCTTACAAATCATTCATACTTTGCAATTTCGTACTGAAATATCTGTTTCATAAGTCATTATTTGGCTTGAAGTAGCCTAATCCAAATAATGCAGACTTTAGGTATCTGCTTTAGTCACGTAAAGCCGGGTTTCTTCGTGAATTGTCTTAGCCAACCATTTGAGAAAGGCCAGAGTCAATTGCAGTCAATTGCATCGTAAAGTGATGCTAAAAGTGATGTTTATGATTTATGAGAAACTAAATACTAAATAGCAGTCTCATCTTTGGATAAACTTGCATTTTAATGCATCAACTTAGCTTCATTTTTCTGAACTTATTACACTGAATATTCGAAAAGATTTGAATTTATATTTCATAAATATCGATTATAATAATAACCGTATTTGCGACTTTTCATACATTTTCTACTAAATTACGTGTACGCCTTCAGGATCATCTAGATGCTTCAGTTTTCAAAATAGATTCATATTTCAGTATAATATGGTCACAGTCTGACATACGAACTTCAGCGCGGTTAGTAAGTTCAACTTCATAAAGCATTGTGCTTATATAATAAAAATCGAATTAGACTGAACTCGACAAGTTTATGCTGAAAACTTTAACATTGGGTTTGACTACACTAAACGTATCACTTTTCTGAAGATAGTCATCCTCTATGAAGTGTCATTTCTAAAAGTTCCTTGAACAATGACCTCCAATAGTTTGTAATTTTTGTTTACGAATTTCAGAGTCCTATGGCTATGAGTCTGCTTAAAGGTGTTCATCATGTCCGATTTGCGACCAGAAGTTTATGGCAGATGTATGAAACGTTGACGCAAGGTTTCGGTTTCACGTTCCATTGTTTATCCAAACACGGTTCAAAATTGAATCTTGTTCTGAAAAATGGTCAGACAGTAGTGATGCTCAGTGAAACTCACTCACCACCTAATCCATACCATCCACTAAAGTTTTATTCAAAGCTCTCTAACTGGGTTACAGAACATGACGGACCATTCGATATTTCTCTGGAAGTAGAAAATGTCCATGAAGTCTGTGAAAGGGTAACTCAGTTTTCTGGGCTTCAAAATATTCTTTTGGAACCGACTACGTACACTGATTATCATGGAAAAGTTATCTTAGGAGTGATAAAATCATGTGTTGGGAATTTACTTCATACTGTTATCGATTCATCACACTACAACGGTTTATTTTTACCCGGATATATTCTACCTGAACTGGGTACAAACGATGACTTGAAGAAAAAGTTATACAAGCATCAGTCAAATTCACAACTTTGTGTCAAGTATATTGATCATATAGCACTTGCTGGTGAGAATGGAAACTCAAATGATTTCATCAAGTGGTATGAGACAGTTTTTGGAATGAAACGCGTATTTGTTAATTTGTGAGTTGTCAATTAATTTGTCCGAATTCATAAATACTAAAATAGGCAAGAAGATGAATCACAAGGGTTTTTAGTAAAATTCAAAAATACTGGAATGAAACTCAAAGCTATGTGTCAGAGGAATTCACCTATGAAGTCTGGTTGTGATAATACATGCAAATTTGTTTTTGTTGAACCTGTGAAGGATTCAGGTAGGTTAAGTAAGAGGATTTAATTATAATTTTAATTCAACTAGAATTTATGCTTTAAAGACTTTATGTACCCTCTGAATGTACAGGTTAAGTAATCACAGGTGATGAGATTGAAAGACTAAAATGAAAGCAAGTTGAAAATCTGGAATTACTTCTGTACTGTTGGGAGTAAAGTAGCTATCGACGTCCCATGCTGTCCATAGTCACACCAGTTTGTCTAATCTTTTCAAATGTATGACCATATGGCAAAAAATTTCTGCTTGAGATAATTCATACATGGCCTTTTCAGGTAATTGTTTTCAATAAATTTCTTTTTGATGAAAGTTACCGGTGGTCAAGAACACTTTTGAAGGGTTTTATCAGCTTGCATGCACTCACATTATGATAATATCTGATTTATTTTCAGCACTCACCGGTTATTCATAGGAAGGGCCGAAAGCATTTTGAAATTTTAAGATCTTTTCATTCATCTTGTAGCCTTCTATTTGTGTCCATCTCACCATTCACACATACTTGTACCAATACTTTTTTGTACACAATCTAATGGTTTTCGTCCACTTTTTCCGTCTAACGATGAATTATGCCTATTTCATCTAGAACCACACTCTGAACTGTACAAAAACTTCTAACAGACGTTTCCTGTGCTAAGTCGATAGACAGCTCAATTTTATTGAAACTCTCGCATCCTCAAAACCTTACATCTCGTATCTCAAACTTATTTGTGTATGCCTATTTCTTTCTGTATCTGCTTTACTGAACGAGTTTTTGGGTCTTCAGAGATTCTGTAACTGATACTTATGAACTTGTTACTGTGGAAATTGTTATGTTTCTGCCTAGTCTTGACTTTCTGAACCGCTCAGTTTTCCCAACTTACCCCGAATGTTGAGTTTTCATGTGATTAGTCTGGTATTTACTTGCCACACTTCGTATACACAAGTCACCCAGTAATGGATTACTCAGTTAAGTCATCTCAACTTAGTACCACAGACTACAGAGTCTTGTCCTTATTGTTCTTATATTGTTATAGTCTGAGTCATCTAAACATACAACTGAAATTTCTGTCCACCATGCACCACAATTCATGCCCAGAAAGTGAGATGATATACAATAAGTGATCTCATTCAACAGAGAATTTCTCAGAACAATAAGTTATGTAGAAATGAATGAGCGACTCAGGAAAAACCAAGGTATACAATAATGCTTTGAAATAACTCATAAGCAAAATACTTTTGAAGATAAACGAAATATAATGTGACCGATTATACTTATCTGAGATTCATGTTTTCCATTTCTCTGCTGATATAACAAGAATGGGAAATGCATAATTTTAGAATGTATCTTCATCTTCGACTATCATTATATATTATACTATTTATCACTTGACTGTCTGAGATAACCGTAATTTAGCAGACTAGTATTTATACTGGGTGATGATTGAAGGTGAAATGAAGATGTGGACCACGACCGGATTCGAACCAGAGACCACCGGGTTCCCTGCCCGATGCTATAGAGCTGGTAAAGAATCGGGCTGGAAACCCGGTGGTCTTTAATTCCAATCCGGTCCACACCTTTATTTCACCTTCAGTCATCACCCAGTATAAACTATAGTATTTGTTAAATGGTTACATTGGAACTAAGCAAATGGGTGTGCATTGTTCCTCCAACAGTTATACCATTCTGTTTTGTAATTTTGTGTTTTCTTCCTTGATCTGAATGGATGTGATTTTATAATTGTAGAGAATTGAATAATATGGAAAAAAGAGACTTATTCTGTGACCAAGATGATTTGATTCAGGATTTCAAGGGTTACTAATTCATTCTTCAACTTCGATTTGTTGTGTATACACTATGGATAGTGCATATTTTAAAATTCCTTATTTATTTGTTAGTAGCCAGCAGTTGGGATGGTATCCGGGACTTTATTTAGTTTTTGATTAAAAAAGTCACGTTCTCTTGAAACCTGAACATCTGAAATGTTTCACTGTATGACAGATAACTACATATATTGATTTCTACTGCTTCATTGGACATGTACTACGCATGCCCAGCCACTGCCTACCTTGATGTGCCAAACGACAGGGAGACAGGTTAAGTGGGAAGAGGGTTCAATGTGAGCAGACCGAGATGTGGCACCAGTCGATGAAGTCCCTGAGTGTTGATTTAAGTCATATGGCGAGATTTAGTTTGCCTGGCTGGGGTCTTTGGGACGAAAGTAATCTGTGGTTGAGGAAATCGATCACTATGGTAGAGATGTGTTCACTCCTTGACATCTTCTAAAGCTTGAATATTTGTACTAACCTTTATCTTCAGATTATTTGTTCTTTTACACAACTTTGTCTACTTTGATATCGGCCTTTTTCTATCCACCCGTCCTTTGTATACTACTGTGAAGTGTGGTAACTGGTGGTAACCGATGTATGCGAGGTTCTACGTAGATTTCGCCTGTCTGTCTGTCACTACCAAAAACTACGAAAAGTTTGTTTTGAAAATCCTGTTTAAACAGTATACAGTAAGCTAAACAAATATACCACTTTCTAGTAATGAATGCAAACTTTTTCTTAGATTAACAATGATTTGTATACCCAGTACATTGTTTTACTTCTTAGTCTTACAATCATCCTAGTTGTCGAGCTTTCTATTCAAGATGAACTCTTATTCTTTTGTTTTCAAGCATCTTAAAATCTAAAGTAGTTGTTCGCTTACATTGGTATTTAGGTGAAGTATACAAGGAAAGTTGATGATTGTACCAATAAAAATGGTTAGTAGTGATGGGTAGAGTCGCTAGCAGTGGAATCCAGGATGGGATAGCCTTACACTTCAGCAGTACGAAAATTCCCATTGGAGCGAAGAAATATTTCTTTTCAATTAAATTCTTATCAATGTTTAAACTAGGTGATGATTGAAGGTGGAATGGAAGTCTGGACCGTTGCCGGATTCGAACCAGCGACCACCGGGTTACTGGCTACGAGGTCTGATTGCTGACCAGAATTTTATTTGACTTCAATCACCAAGCGTTTTACCCGACTACCATATGAATTCGTGACGCGTTACTACCGCTTGATCGTATTCACACTGACTACCTAGTCAGGACTTCTCATCCCAGTGGTAATTTAGCTGAATCAGAGAGACGAAGCATCATATTGATTATCATTATTATCTTATTAATGGCTCCAGACTAATGTGGAACTTTTTCAAAGTATAGAATAACATACACCAATCTAATGGTCTGAAGTTAATGATTAAAGGTTATCAATTGTCATCATAAGAAGCGACAAAAGAGACGATCCCAGCGAAGAAAAACTTCCATTTTCCACGAAATCCAGTCGTGAATATGTATCACAAAGGCCAGAACATTCCGCAATTGTTTCTGAACAGGAATCAAAATACACTGAATAACGAAAGGAAGTTAAGCAATACAAATTAGGGTTTAAATTAGGAAGAATAAACAAAGGGGTTAAGAAAATAATATGATTACGCCATATATGATATCTAGAAGAGTTAAGGTTTGACGATGATCATAGCAGAAACAAAGGTTGCATATACGTTTTTTCCACACTCAGAGCTGGTTTAAACTTGTGGATGGCTAGTGCTCCAGCTTTACCCAAATACTTTGATCTCCCTCCCTTTGAGTAGCTCTATAGAACCTTGTAGAGTATTTTGGATGAGTTATCAAATGGAGCTGTATGATTGAACTGAAGATGCATTTCCGTTACCCCTTTATTAACTAGGCCAGGTAGCGTTCTCGAGTACGTTTTACAGGCGGCCGCATCTTACGGCCGATGTACTCAGCTCCACAAAAGCAAGGAAACTGGTATTCACACATATTGACCAAAACGTTTCTTGCAGGAGAAAACGATTCGAAGGTTGACAGCGAAGTATGTTCTTCTTAAGAGTTTTGTTAGTCTCTTTTCAAGGATGTCTGCAACCATGTCATTCTTGAATTCAAGAACCAACAAATGAATCTTTTCCGATGCTGAATGTGTTCTCTTGTCTTTAAGTCCTTTTTTATCGCTGAATCTAGGCGGTAAACCATTTCCTACTAAAGTTTTTCGAAGATTATTAATTGTAAGATATCGAGGGGAAAATAATTAACTAAGAAAATTAAAATGGTAGCTAAAGCAAAGAATAATTATATAGTGAATATATGAATGTCAGCAGAGGTGTTTCGTAACGGTGATTAATAAAAAAAGGAAACGACTAACCATTATTGCGTAAGAGTGAATTAGGGACAAAGAAGAAAGAATAGGGTAAACAAAACTGTAAAAATAATAATGATAATAGTTTATGAGATGAATGAGGAAAAGGGTCACTTTTGTAAACGACCTCAGCAAAGAAAGCACCTGTACAAATTTCTTCTAAACACGTAGTTTTGGTTTACTCACGTGGATCTCAATGACTTCTGTTATATTTAAAAGGCAGATTCGTAGAGCATAAGTGAGATTAAAAGAATATGATAAATAACTTTGAAGGGATTATCGATGTCGATTTGATGTCGAGTAACAACTAAATAAAAGACTAAATTGCTAAATAATTATCTTTTCTGTTTTTTGCTGAACCAAGACAAATTGAAATGCACTCAACAACCACGGGGACATTCATGCGGTAGGTATTGAGCCAAATCTATTTTGTGAGTGATATGGACACTAACTGACTTCGCGAACCTTAGAAGACAAAAAGGGGTTCAAACCCGTGATAAATGATCTCGAAACCAATTATCGACTTATTTAGTCGTTCGCTCAACATAACAAGCTATATAGGAGTAGTTAAACTGATAAGTGCATATAAAAGAGGTGATATCAAATAATCACTCCTTTCTTCATGAAGTTTCCATCGGCCAATTGTGGAGCGCGTATCATACATAGCTTTACTGGTCATCCTGTAGCATTCCTTAGACTTTGTGTAACGGTTTTATTCATGAAGTTGTTGGTATTCCCATTTCTCTATTGAATGAATTCATATACTTAACTAAGAACTTCACTGAATATCAATTGATACTGAGT